AGCTGAGTGGTGCAGTTGACGTGCTTGAGGGATAGGATGCAATCCAGAAGGACCTAGATTAGCTCAAGAAGTGAGCCAAACACAGTAGTTTATCCTCCAACTTCCTACATCATTGCCAAGGGATAATCCATGTGGTCAGCAGTCATGGCAATTGCTTTACTTATTTTACGCCTTGAATTTGATATTTGGAGTGTAAAAAAAGGGAGGCCAAGGTTTAAATTGCATAAAATAAGGCTTCTACAGCCAATGTTGTTAGGGTGCGTAATTCTTTTTGATTTCAAATGCTTCTGAAAGTCAGAGCCTATTTCCACATTGTGGACCCAAAGCACTCTAGTTTTCAAATGTAATGAGCACCAAAATTTGGCCAGTCAAGACTGGAAACTGAGACCTCTCTATCAGATTGTTTATATAAGATATCACAAAAAAGCTTCCCATGGTTCCTCTAAGGTTCCTGTTTGTTTGTAGTTCCACAGCTTCCCACAGCCTTTTCATGGCACACACATATTACACGTACATTTCAGTATGAAGTGTGTGCATGAACAAATGTTTTTAGCAAAGTCCAACACCCACAGCTTGAATGGTGTTCCTCTATTGCATATCAGCTAATAGAAAACCAAGTATTCTCAGTATTATTGGGTTCTGCCTTGAACCATGGGAAGAAACCTTCTGTATGTAAACACAGGGATTGGAGCTAAGACTGACCAGATGGAATGGAAGAAAAAAAAGGACTCATCTGTATTTTTGGAATTACAAAATGGTACGAACTGGAAGCAGGATGTACCAGCTACCTGGTTGTTGGGTGAGGGTGCAGCATTTTGCGGTGGAGGCATGTTATAATAAGAAGTTGAAGGATTCCACTGTGATTCAACAGCTGGTTCAATCAAACCAGCTGAAACTGCCTTCAGTACCATCCTGGACCAGATTTTTCAGAAGAATTCAGCAGCTTGGTAGCTAAGCCCTTTTGCAAAACATCTTGCCACTTACTGTCACAATAGAAGCTGCTGGATGCTGACCACTTCAGAGAAGCTGGACCAAATGCGAGATGCCAGGCACTTGAAACTCTGGCACTGGGCTCTGTAGAGAATTCGATCCATTATGTGCTGCTCCACTTCAAAGTGGTTAGCAGCTTGTGACAACCGTACAGCATCACAGCAAATGTCACTTTTTGTGCAAACATTTAACCAACATAAAGCAGCTTTTTAGCGTGGTAGTAAATTTTGCCCAAATCTCAATTTGCTTTGATTTTTTTGATTTGTTTAAATATCTTTTAGAATTTTCACTGAATGGAAAAGAAATACTGGCTTTGGGCCTTTCTGATTAAAGTATTTACAAAATATTTCAGTGTAGTTTGGGTGCAGGAATGACACAGGAAAGTAGTGTTTCCTCACCAGTCTTGTTTACTGTTTTCTGATACAACAAAAAGAACATTATTATGACAAGTTTAAAACCAGAGAGACAAAACCTATTCTTCTGAGATTTTCTTTGCTTTATGCACAGTTTCATGTTTTAATTTTGGGAGAAGAGAAAGGACATACACCTTCTCAAAGGAAAAGAGGAAGACATTTTAGCACAAAGAGCTGAAGTTCAGCTCTGCAGTCTCGGTTCAGACCCATCTCCAGCTTTCAGTATAATCTTTCTATGCCTTTTTTTTTTTTTTTTAAATCAAAACCAGGAATTATACAGCTGTTGAGATAAGAATAATTAAGAACAATGCATTTCCTTTTAAAGCTCCTCAAAGGGTAACCTCTAATAAGATGAATTGAGCGTCTCATTCAGGCCACACACAAATGATAGCTCATATTTAGTAACAACATTTTTTGGGGTAAAGATAAGCTAATTTTGCTCAAGAGCAGAGGGTGGTCTTTAAGCCTTGCATTTGTCAAAGAAACAAGCACTTTTTTATCTATAGCATATAATCGTCCACAGCTCAAGAGGAATAATATAGGGGGAGGGAAATTCAGGCAATGTATTTATGTTGGAGCTTAGGCCTGAGCATTTGAACAGAGCACAAAGTTAAAGAGACAGTGGGCTGTTTTGGGAAACCTCACTTGCAATCTGACATTTATATGTGCTGATGCTGTTGCTCCCATAGGTACTCAGCCTTGCAAATAAGAGCTGTGTGATCTGTGATCTGGGTGCCACAGAGCTCATTTGGATTTATAGGGAAACTGAAAATCAGTTTCTCATAGCTTTCACATCTGTTGCTTTTTTTAATGCCCTTTTATTTCTATGGAAAAGTTTCTCTATTGATCTACACAAAACATCAGTAACATCATCACAGCAGAAGTGAACCTGCAGGATACTGGGGGATCCCTATGGTCCTCTGTTACCCACCTCAGATCTGCTGGAAGGTGTGCCCTCTGGCTGGTTAGCAGTGGATAAATGCCCTGGCAGTATCCAGAAAGACACAGTCAGATAAAGCATTAGGACCTGTGTCTGGTATGTGGTCCCTTTTGTTCTGAACATCTGTTAATGTGACTGCAGTTTGCTCTAATGCACGCTAGTGTGAATCCAGAGAAACATAGTGAGGATGCTCCTTGGTAGCCTTTGTGTAGCGTCTTGGAGAGCAGTTCAGTCTAGTCCTAGTTCTCTGTGCTCAGGAAACTGGCCTCATTTGAAGAGTTCATGGGAGAAAGCCTAAATATGAAGAAAAGGCAAGACATAGTGCAAAACATGCCAGTGACAGGTTCTCCTCCTCCCCTAAAGACATTCCACCTGAAAAAAGAGAAGTACCAGCTGGAGTTATAAATGATTCCAACTCCTAATTGCCAAATGCTTCCCCTCTCCCCTTTGTATCTGTTACAGATGCATCATTCACATATGAATGTTTCCTGGAATTTGATTCCAGAGATTTGAGCCTGTGAAGTTTTGGGGCCAGACTCACTCAAATGGAACTCCCAGGGAGCTGAAATTGCTTCTCTGTTTAAATCAAGAGGCTTATCAGGGAATGCTAAATGATTTTTTTACAGCTACGAGTCAAAAGATCTAACTAGTCTTCTCCTTGCTATTTGCTGCATAGCTTTCAAATTGAAAGAAAAACCCAAAATTAACAACAACATTTAAAAAAAAAAAAAACGAAAACAAAACAAAAAAAACCTCTTTCCAGTCCCCCTGGTCCTCCAGACAGCCAAGTCTGTTTCTGTCACCACCCTTCTAATTACTGGAAAGACCCCATTTGGCTTGAGAGATCAATGCAGGATTGTTTTACACCAGCACAGATATTTTGCCTGCTTAAGCAGAATCTGAAAAAGTAACAGAGTGATCCATTAGCCAATGAAAGAGTGTTCAATCAAGCAGTGCTCTGTGTTTCTCCAGCATTTTTCACCCGGAGCAATTAAGTATTCATTGATTACAAGCATTAATTAGGTCTAATCACATGCCTGCAAATGAGGCGTTATGGAAACATGAAAATGAGTGCTGTGTTTTGAAGTGGATTTTGGTGGTGAAGAAGGAGATGGGCATCTCATGGGATTCCCAGGAAACCCTCATGCACAAAATTCATAAAGACAAGGTGCTGATCATCTCCCAAGAATCAGGCCCTGCTGGTCCCTCCCAGGCAGGGCTGTCAAACACTGAAGTCTCTGATTTTCTTTTTAGCTGAACTTCAAACACTACTCCATGTTACTCCATTATAATGAAATGGAGCACAACAGGGGAGAACAGGCAAGTGAGCTGGAGGCCTTGCAGCACTGAGATCAGTGCCACAGCCATCCTGGCCAAGGACCACACACTGAATGGGGAACTGCTGGGGACAGGAGTAGCTCAAAGCAGTTGCAGAGTTTGCCAGACTCCCTAGGACTACCTGGTGTGATTATGCTGTAATTTTTAATCCAAAGGTTGTTTTTCTCTTTTTTCTTTGTTTGTCTGCTTTGTTTGTTTGCTTTTTTGTCAATTCAATTTATACATATACCTATATGTATTTAACGATTTTAATTAAAGGCAAAGTCATCTGGTTTGTGCCTTAGGCTGAAAAGTAGCTTACTAAAGCTCTGTTAGCAACTCTATACCTGTCTGTGCTTTCTGTTCCTACTAGGTTGTTATTTGATGCATTCATAGCATGGCTATAAGACAATGTCTAAACACATAAAAGGGCTTTTCTTTCCCAAGCCTGGTCCTACTTTTCACAAACTCAGCCTCTTGTTTTACACACTCCTCCATTCCACTCTAATTTCCACTGTTTAATCTCACCCAGCTCTTTGTGTCCCTTCCCTCAGCAGGACACAAAAAAAAAAAAAAAAAAAAAAAAGCAGCATCATTTTGTAATGTTGCAAAGTTGGGTGGGTTCATAGGAAAATATCAAAACAACAAAAAGGAAACCCAATCCTTTCTCCCAGTACCCATGGCTTGATTCCAGGGCTGAGAAAAGAAAAAACTGCAAGCCTGCCTTCACAAGGGCTAGCCTGGACACCTGGCTACATGGCTGCAAGGCTGCCAAATTGCTCTTCGGGAACAGCATAAATCATGAGTGATTTATGGATCCTCCCCACAGTGTGCCCACACTTAGCTTTTTGCATATCCCTACACCTACTCCCTCTCTAAAAGTTAATCAAGTGCAAGGAGACAGGGAGACCCAACGTGGCTGCATGAGTAAAATCAGTAGGCACGTAAAACCCACAGTCTCACGATAAGACCACATTCCCATCCCAGTCTGGTCTGCTCCGCCCTCCCTCTATGCATGGGGGTGGAAAGCTGATGCTCAGACTGCCATTTGCTCAAAGGCTGTTCTTGGCATTCGACATGGTTTGCACCCTGTATACTTGATGTGTTTAGCTTCTTCTGCATGATGCTGCAATCCTTTCTGCACACAGAGGGAGGCTCACAGTCCTAATGTCTCTGGTCTCTGCACATTCAGAAAGGCCTACTTTAAAGAATATTGCTTTGACTTTTCTCTTGAGGGCAAAAATGAAAAGGGAGGTCAGGGGCATAGCACCACTGTAAATCAGAACATATGGCCCAGTATGTGGTGGAAAGGCAATCCCTCAGTGGGGGTGATAATGATTATGACGGGGTATATTGCAATTAGGATACCGGAAACAAAGCCTTTCAGCATTAAATCATTAAAGTGACTGCAGTATATGACAGTAATTTAAGAGGGAAGAGAAATCTGGGCACCAAATGGTACAGCAAAGAGAGGACCCTCACAAAGTCTGTAAGCTGGGATGAAGTGTAAATGGCAGAATACAGATGCTGACATCCTCATAATACTGTAAGGAGGCACAAAACCAAAACAGGTCTGGATAAACTACTGACCTCTTACTCCTGGAGATGGTCCCCCATGGGCCCATGGATAAGCTAATGGGCAAAGCAGATCACGGAAGACCTTGCCAGTGCTGCTGCTATCGCTAAATGGAAGAAGTGTTTGGGAAATGCCTGCTGTTTCTTGGCATGGCAAGTAGGGTGGCAGCATCTGAGTCTCCGCTTTCTTCTGTCAGTGTTTAATGACTCTACAGGTCTCAGTGGAGTTCCCTCCACGTCTAAGTGGCACATCAGCAAGCCAAATCAGGCCTCAACATCTGTAAAACGGAATAGATTCACAAGGATTTAATTCCCTCTTAAGTATGTACAAATCACATGGGATGACACTGTCTAATTCCCTACATTTCTACATAGCACGGTACTGTCACTATTCACTGGGAAAGAATTTCATATTTGCATTTTTCCAAATGCAGTAATATTGACATTGCTCATCTTCTCCCAGCACTCAATAGCAATAATTTTTCCCTCTGGAGAAAAAGGCACAGATTTTCCATATTGCATCATACTGCCTATGAGGGTCCTTGTCCTGATTCGATCACCTCTGCAGTGAAGTGGAGAGTAAGTGGACACTAGGCACATCTAACCATGTGCGCTTAAAAATCAGAAATAAAAGCAAGCATAGGTCTTTATCTCTGACATTTTTAAAGCTGCAGACCAAGCTGAAGTTCTGCCCTGCAGATATCTACTGGTAAGTGCAATCAAGTAATACAGCCATTGGAGAGAAGATCAATATCATGCAATGCTTGCCTCAGTTACTGGCAGCCCTCCAACACCAGCTCCAAATCTGGGAGTATTACAGAGCCACTGGGGAACAGGACTTCTTGTCTTGCATGCAGTACTAATAACCTGACTTTTCTTTCAAGAGTTACAGAGTCCCTCCACATGGGTCCATGCTGAGCAGCTGTACTAGCTCGATTGTCTGCACCATGTGACACTAAGGGTGGTAGGTCTTACTCTAAGGGCATAAGTGGAGTTTTCTCCTTGAAGAGATAAAATAAGGTTTTTGGTTTTTACTTAGAGGTTTGTGTGTCCAGGCAGCCTCAGGAAATAAGGGGATGGCCAGGAAGTGTGATAGACTTTGCTCTTTACTTAGATGACAGTCTAGCTCAATGCAAGAATACAGTCACCTTTTAAATGTCATATGTTGTCCTTCTGAGTGCCAGTAGAGGGCAAGTCCCAGGCCCAAGCTGATGCCTGAGTTTCTGCCAGGTACCCCAGAAGTACCTCGTGCCCATGCTAGGGCAGCTAGTTCTGTGCATGCAATACAATCAGATAATGTCAGAGCAGGTAAATCTGTGATTTAAAGACCTGACCCTGCTCTACTGGTTTCTGTCAGTGCAAGAAACAGTGTTAAAGACAGTATCTGAATTTTGTCAGTGAGGAGGTGACATTCCTACCTAGAAAACACTTTCTGAAAGGGTTCTCTCACTAGACAGTGACTTGAAGCCCCTCAGGTGTTACTCATGCTTGCCCCATCCTATAAAAGGCTGTGCTGATCTGGAGCAGGGTCATTCCCAAGTGTCAGGAGCAGTAGAGGAGGGTAAAGTTGGCTGTGGTTTTTGCTCTGGGTCCAGCTCCCAGAGGCTGTGCAGATCCTCTACCATTTAAAAAAGCTAAGCTCATGAGCTATGCTTATGTTGCTGTTGTCTTTGCTGCTGTTTTCGTCGTTAATACCTTGGCTGCTGCTAGTATGTCTGGTGTTTTTAGCATGGGAGCCAAGAAAACAGCATTAACTGAACAACCTCAGCACAGCAGAGGTTGCCAGGTTGAGAAACTCTCTGATGCTGGGAAACAAAGCGAACGTCTCTCCCCACTTCAAGTCTGTGACATGTGTTGGCTTACAACCACGGAAACCCACACAGCTCTGTGGCTGAATGATGAGGGTGGTAGGCAGAAAAGGCTAATGGCAGGTGCTTAGGTTTGATTATATTTTTTTGTAACCCACACCTGTCAAAGGTGAGAGTGAAGGTGTTGGATGAACAGGCTTGAAAACACATAGCAGCTACAACAGGGGAAAACCAGTTGGTTATAATGGGGATTTTTCTAATTGCTCTGAATTATTCACAATATCGGTGGTTTCCTGTGACATCAAGCTTCTGAACATTGCCTGATTGTCATGAACTGCAGTGCATCCAATTTTCCATTCCCGACTACACCCAAACCACAGTTCATCTGAAAAGCTGCTTCTGCAGAAGACGTGTACTGCCTGGCAGCTGAATAACTGATAGATGGGGGTAACACAGAGGCATCTGGTATGGGGCACTCAGCACTGGCATGGATGGATCCATGTGATATCTTGCCTTGTATTTCAAGAGAAATTATGGCAAAACAACTAATGAGTCAAAGAGAGGAAGTGAGAGCAGAGGCTAAGAGTGTGTGAAAGACAGAACTCTGTGGATTGCTCTGCCTGTGCCAAGAACTGGGGAGTTTCTGTCAGCTGGTTGGGAAAGTCGAGCAGCTGGAGCGTAAACTACTGTCTTGACTGTGTGTCTGTTTGTCCGCAAGCACCACTGCCCTCTTTCGGGTGGAATTAGACCTGCGCAGCTGCTTCATCCAGCATCACACGCTGCGAAGTCGCCTGGGTGCAAGAAAGAGTGACCACTCCTGCAGCAGTGCTGGCAGTGATGCTACCATGAGGAGAGGTGAGCAGCATAATGCTCCGTGGCAGGCACTGCTCAGCAAGGATGCTGTTTGACAGCCCCGTGGCCAGTGGCATTACAGGTGTAGCACATCAGTCTGCCGTCATGCTCTGAGTCAGCTGTGGCAGGCTCCTCAGACAGGCTGCAGCTCCTTGGGTGAGCCATGATACCCAAGCTGCAGTTCCTTCACGCAGTGCTTTTCCCCATCTCTGACCCTGCTCGGCCCCATCATCTGCCATGCAACAGGAACGGAAGAATGGCTGAGCAACCTTTGGCTGCAGCCTTTCTGCAGGCAGGTAATTATGCCAGCTGTTGTAGAACAGTGCCACGTTCTGCTGAAAACAGAACTTTGGAGACTTTCACCATGGAGTCATTGAAACTTGTTTTGTTGGGACAAGGTGCACCTTGAACTGAGCTCCCCTCCTTTGCTCATGTGCTCAGCTGGAGGACCTCTCATAAGCTGTAAGGGCTGTTGTTAGCAGAGGCACAGATTCAGGATATGGGTTGACCTACTGGTTCAACAGTCAGATCTTGGAGGAAGTCTGTGGTGATGGTATTTGTCTCAAACAAGAGAACACATCCCTTTGAGAGCCAGCTCATGCCCCGAGACATATCTGATTATACTTCAGCTTCCTCGGCTAGGACCACGCCCTGTCACAATCTGACAAAGTCCGTACAGTGACCTAGACATAAAATTTGACGTGATGAGTGACACTTTTTATAAGACCAACTGTTTCATTATGAAACTTTTGAGGCTGGGAAAAAAAAAAAAATCCTAAACAAATAAGAACATGCCTCTGTTAAAAGGCTGTCGGAGCATTTTTATGTATCCTCCTTGCAGCAATTGTGGCTGCATGTAAAAGGCAAGCATGCCTTCTGATCGTGAGAGAGTGGCTAAAAAACATGAGTCACACAGTCGAACCTTGTGACTTGGTAGAACTAAGGAGGTCTCCTTAAAGGCAATTTGTGGAAGAATTGGAGAGAAACGCAATTTTTCAAGGTCAGCCAAAGGCTAATGAGCACTCTTTCATAGTGTGATTGTATTGCCTGAATTTCTGTATTTCAAAGCCAGTCTAACTACTTTATTGCTGAAGCACTGTAACTGAAGAGGCTGTAATAATATTGACAAGTAATCCTGCCAGAATCTGAGATGGTATTCAGCATAATATGAAACATTTTCTCTTTGCCTGGACAAGTACAGAACAAAGAGTTAAACAAATATGTAGTTCCCCAGAGTACCACTTATCTTTCTTCCCAAAGGGCATGTGTACAGATGCTTTGTAAGCTGGGTTGTCAACAGTTAAGGCTTGTGGCCAGATTCACATGTTCTCCACCTTTTGCTTGTGAGCTGCAGGAGACTCATCTCCAGAGGGACAGTTTTTCATAACTTAATTAGATTGGCGCCATTTGTGCAGCTATAATTTCAGGTTGGCTCAGCTTTACTTCTGCTCCAGCTCTCCAGTTCAGGGGATTACAGTAGCACTGAAATTGGTTCTGAACTAAACGTTTGGCAACTACCTCGGGTCAAGGAGGTAATTTGTGTTACTGCTGTTGCTAAATTAGAAATAAATAAATAATCAATGCGCGGCCCTTAATGAGAGACTAAGAATGAGAGACAAAATGTTTTTGCGGCTCTCCACTGTGAGTGTACATAGGAACATGTTACATTTTTTTTTCCCATGAATGAACAACTCTAGTCTAGTAAACCACTTTAGTTGAAGGAGAGCAAGCTCAAATTGCATCCTCCTAGCACAGCTTTGCACTATGCTTAATTTAGTGTAGCTTTAATCAACTGGGAACCTGGATGGGCTAACCAAAAATCAACCAAACAAGTGTTCCCGCTGGAATTTTCAGTGGTTTAACCAAACCAGTTTAGAAATGGATGGGAACAAAATCACTGAGATTTTTAGCACAGAGACAAAGCCCTTAGCCTTAACTAGCTGTATGCTTCAACTACAACTCAAGAAAAAAGAGGTTTGCAAGCAGTGAATGTAGACTGGAGGAAAGGAAAGAGCGAGGCCACCTTTCCAAGGGCCACACGTAAAACATGCACCTCCTGCCTACGATGTGCAGATGGTCCTTAAGAACAATCCACAAGTGTGAGTATCTGGACTCTCTTCCATGCACTGTGAGCCACAGAGACTCCCAACCCCCACTGCCCCCCTTCAAGCTTGTCAGTGTGGCACATAGTACATTTGGGCCTGCTGAGGTTTTCAGGTTTTACCTGGGCAGCCAGTAGCTGGAAAGCTGCTCAGTTGTGACTTCTTTACCAAATTCAGTGATGGACTGCAACACATCTTTAGCATGCAGTTTTGAAGAAGTCAGCTGATAAATGGCACTTTAGCAGGTGCCAGGTGGAATAAATTAAAATGCATCTGGCAAATCCTCTGTAAAGGAAGACACATACATGTTCGCAGGGATGGAGAAAAATGACCGCTACTCATAGAGAGTTAATAAGAGGGGAAAACAAAGTGTCTTTTCATGTCCCTTCTGAAAGCAAACCAAAACACAGACAAGTCAACAGTCCAGGTTTTCTCACAGTATCACAGAATTTGTAGGGTAGGAAGGGACCTCTGGAGATCATCTAGTCCAATCCCCCCACCAATGTAGGTTTTTATTACCTGGATATAAATAAATAATACAATTAGACCTTGTTCTGTCTAACTCAAGATTTTTGTTGCAAAAATTGTTTCTACCTCAGTGTTTATAAGACTGAGTTTGCCTATTTACTGAAGGTACTGATTGCTTTATGGCTTTTTACTTTCCCTGTGATATGAGCCATTTGTGAGGTGGAAGCAACCCATGCAAATCAAATAGTTGCTAGTCTGCAATACTGAACAAATACTTTATAAAGAAATTCAAGTCTATGGGGGTTTTTGTGACCTGTTTGGGGCAAGTGCTTTATTCAATTTCTGAATTATACAGGTCATTTCTGGATCTTTAAGGATGGCCAGATGTATCACTTTCACCAGTGCCCAAATGGTGACCTTGAGAGAGCCTGTTGCACTGGCTTTTCTGTACAGGACTTTCTACAGAAAGTAGAGAGAAATTTGGTGCTACCCAATTGCTTACCTGCTACACACCTGGTCTCCCTAGGATTCTTTGATAATCAGGGAGTGGGGATAGGGGGAGGGGGGAGAAAGAGAGATGTATAGAGAGAGAGTGAAAGAAGGGGAGAAAGAGAGGGGTGGGTCCATCCAGAAGGTATTTCAAAGTAGATGCTTAATTTAGGCACACTGCATCATCCCCTGCAGGAGTTTTTATATTTCTCCATGGACCAGGGAGAGGATAGAGAGACTGGGTGAGTGACTCAGCTGACCACAGTTGGTGGTGGGAAATCCATCCTTGCTGAAGCCAATGAAAACATCAAGAAACAGAGCCATCCACAACCTCTTTAAGTAATTTATTCACCCTCATTCTTAAGACCTGGTGCCAGCTCTCTCATTTAATTGGGCTTAAGTCCTCCTCCTTGTACTGTTGTGATGGCCTTCTCTGCTGGATGGAGAAAGATTTAGCCAGGACTGTTTCTGTCTTTCATGCAGAAATTGAGACACCTCTGAACCTTCTTTGTGATTATAGGAATAAACTCCTTTCCAAAAGTCTCTAATTCAGATGCAGTTTTACCATTTATTGTGTTGTTTTTTGGCAGGTTTTTAATGCTTCTTTGGCAGTCATGCCTTGCAGCTGCAGCCAGTACTCAAGGGCCAGGGAGCAAGGCTGCAGTGCCCTGCTTGTCCCCTATCCCGCACTGCCTTATCCAGCCCACCTCCTGCTCCCAGCCCAGGGCAGAGAAATAAAGACCTGGGGGGTTTCTGCTTACCTACAGCCCAAGTGTGTATTACATGGTATTTCTGAAGCTCTGAGCTCTCTTCAGGATGCCTCTTGAAATCCCTTTGGCACAGCTCTCAGGTAGAAGATGACTCTGCTGAATTTTAAAAGTTATCCTGTTCTTAATGGACTGGAAGATAATTAACCTTCTCATATAAGATAAATTCCTTGCCGTTTCTTTCCAATACAGAAGTAATAAGTAACTATTTCAGCCTTTTCTGCATCAACATTACCAGTTTTCCTAGGTTTACTTTTCGTTCTTAACATATTTTGAAATTTCCTGTTCTTCCTAAATATGGAAAACCTGAATATGTTCTCCACTGAAGCACTGTTTCCATCAAGGTCCACAGCTTCCCTTACTGCATTTTTGCATTTCACAATTACATCAATATTCTTTAATTTTTCCTCCTTCTTTGTTACTTATTTAGTTAGTAGTTTCCAGTTGCTGATGAATTTGAGTAAGTTTTTAGCTTAAGCTTCAAGCTTGAATGTGAAGGGAGGTGGATCAACTATCAATTAATATTAATGTTATTAACTTTTATTTTTATTATGCCTGCATAATTTTCATTAATTTTTTTTCCTATTTAGATATTTCATCCTAACTAAATTTGATGTAGTTTTCAGAACTTTTTCGATACTTTTTTTACCTTTTTGATACAACAGTTGGGTATATTAATCACTACTTTCAAATTTCTCTGCCCATAGAGAATGTAATCACATTGCAATCCTGTGATTTCCAGCTCGGGAATCAACCAGTTGTTATCTGCCTAAATGGAGTCCATCGTAAAGTCGTCTTCTTCTGTGTGTAATCGCTGTGTAGGTATTATCTGATAGTTTTAGAAACTCTAGATTGTTTCACAGTGATATGAATGGGACCTGAATATTTGCCTCAAACTCAATCCGCCTATAACAACCAGTATTTTTTTTCTTTACCTTGTAAAATAAAAACAACTGCTGAAGAAATAAATCAGCCTTTTCTTTTCTTTTCCTTGGCCAAGTGATCCTGAGAGCTCCCTGTGTTTCTTCTTGTTTTTCTTCTAGGACAGCAGTCACCCAAATTCAAGATTTTCTGCTCTGAATGAGTCCCCAGAAGATGATGGCACTCAGAACACATTTGTCTTATTGCTTCTTCCATTGTTGATGAGATAACAACATCTCGACATCCTGGTGTTGAA